TGCTGAATAGATGCGGGACCTGGGAGTTTTGTTTTGTTTTTTTAAGATTTAATTAATTTATTTATTTTAAAGAGAAAGAGCATCAGCGGGGGAGGGGCAGAGGGAGAGGGAGAGAGAATCTCAAGCAGACTCCCCGCTGAGCGCGGAGCCAGACATGGAGCTCGATCTCACGACGCTGAGATCATGACTTGAGCGGAAACCAACAGCTGGACGCTCAACCGACTGAGTCACCCAGGAGCCCTAGGAGTTTGTGTTTTTTAAAGCTCCCCCAGTGGCAGTGGCTTTTGAAGTGTTAGGGAACTGTAGTTTCAGGGAAGGTCACTGGACTTTGTTTACTATGTGAATATCTTCTTGTCTGCAGCCCCACAAGCCTTGTGCCCCGTCAGCAATGAGTGCATGTCCCCCAACACACACAGTCCTGACTGTTGGAAACCTCCCTGGGCCCGGTCTCCTGGCCACCCTCCCATCCTTCTTCCTCTCTGCCCTCCTGCCCTGGGGTTTGGTGAGAAGAAAGGTTCCAGCCCCTTCTGGGGTTCTGACAGGGCTGCCTTTGGGCCAAAAACACCATAGAAGCATGGAGGTGTGCCACAAACATTGTAGAGGACTCAAGTCATTTATTCATTCAACAAACATTTCCTAACATGTACTATGGGCCAGGCTGTAAGGGAGGATCTGTGTGAGAGAGAAAAAGACAAATTCGACAAGTCCTAGGGAGTCGGTTTCCAAGACAGAGATAGAAGATTTGGGAGCTGGGAGGGGTCACGTCTGGTTTCCTTCCCAGTCCTGGGATGCTCCAGAGCAGTGTGTTTCATTCAAACACAGTCTCTGACCCATTAGTGGCTGTGGGAAATCCCTTTAGTGGGGCTCCACCATCCTTTAAAGACCAGAATAGAATTTGAATGCATCACCATAGTAGGGGTCGTTCCTATTTCATTCATTCTTCCTTCAACTCCTTCCTTCCTGTTAAATGAGTTCAGTGAGTTTTAAATGTGGTTATTGAAGCTTTCTTATTTCCAGAGATTCTATTTCGTTCTTTTTCAGTCTGTGATGTTACTCTTTATAGTTTCCTCTTCTCTGCAGGGATCCTCAAGCTTTCATGGATTTAAGCAGGGTAGGCATACTGTTCTACAGACGTTGTCTGTGCCTGGAGTCTCTTCATGTCTGTTTCTACTGTCTGTTTGGTGGGTTGGTTCTCTCCCATGACAGCTAGTTCCCAAGACTTCCTGGCTAGCTTTGACTGTACGCTTGCCATTGCATATGAAAAATTTGGTATGAGTGGTTGTGGACCAGAGGAAGGTACCTTCCTCCAGAGAGGGTGTGCATATCCTGTTACCAGACCCCTGGGGCTCCACCTGTCCAAGACTGCCTGAAGCCAGACTCAGATTCGGGGTTTCCTACACCATCCAGGGGATTCCAACAGGGCGCTAGTTTCTGGAAGGGGCTGTTCTGCCTCGGGTTCAGCCTACACTTGGGGGCGTAGTCCTTTGGGGTCCCAGCTTACTGAACAGAGGGTCTCCTGATAGACTCCTACCTTCCATGGGCCTGGCCTTGGATTTCTGCCTCCTGTCACCTGATGAAGCCATCCACATAAAAAGTCAGTTTTCTGGGGCGCCTGGGTGGCTCAGTCATTAAGCGTCTGCCTTCGGCTCAGGTCATGATTCCAGGGTCCTGGGATCGAGCCCCGCATTGGGCTCCTTGCTCAGCGGGAAGCCTGCTTCTCCCTCTCCCACTCCCCCTGCTTGTGTTCCCTCTCTTGCTGTGTCTCTTTCGAATAAATAAATAAAATCTTAAAAAAAAAAAAAAAGCCTGTTTTCTGGAATCAGTGAATATCCTCAGGGTGAAAGTAGCTTGGGTGTTTCTATATCTTTCTAACTTCCCTTTGATCCTCGGCTCGGGCCCAGGAATTCTTCACTATTTTGTCAGTTCTTTCAGAAGTCTTAAAATAATATCCATTTGAAAAATCCGGTTGTGTGAGTTGTTTTCTGGTTGGGTTGGTCAAAAGATATTATAACCATGGTTCTCAGCCCCGTCAGAGCCTGCCCTGCTTACCAGGGACAGAAGCAAGCCCCCATGTTGTTTCATGAAATGGTGATCCAGAAATGTCTTTCGGTGAGTCAGTTCAGAAAAGCTTGAGAATTTCTGCTCTAGGGCGACCTGGGGCAGCATCTCTCTTTCCTTCTGTTCTCCTTTCTGGATTGGGAGTGGTGGGGTGGGGGTGCAGGGAGATCAGGGAGCTCACGATCCCCCAGGCCTGTGGGCTCCAGGCTCACTCAGACCCAGGGTCCTGGCCTGCCCCCTCCCTTCCCAGCTTGCCAGACCCACAGTGTGACTTGCCGCTCTCACTTCACTGTCCCCTCCACGTGGCGCCCTCTTGCCCTTCCCTCCACCTGCAGTGCCTCATCCCTCTCCTCCCTCCTTGGCTATAAATTCAGGCCCCATCTCATCCACACGGGAGAGGCGTTTCTAGATTCATGCGTTCATCCGGCAGGAATTCACTGAGCCCCGGGCTAGGCGCTGGGGACATGGTGATGAGCCCCACGTGGCCCTGACCACCTGCAGATGAGCCTGTCAGAACCAGAGCGTGCTTTAATATTAATAAGTGGAATTCAAAAATAATACAACCGATGCATATCTATATTTATGTCAAATAAAATGGGGGGTAAGAGCCAGGGTCTGAGGGAGCCTGGAGCTGGGGGGGGGGAGGGAGCAAGGCCAATATAATGTCCTAAGGGCGAAAAAAAGAGACATAAAAGGAAAGCAATTTCTAATGAAGTAATACGCGTCTCAGAAGTGGATGTTGGGCACAACTAGAAGGCCCAAGGACGCAGTCGGAGCTTGCCTGTGAATCATGACTAGGGCAACCACAAACACAAGCATCTGGCACGGCCGCCAGTGATGCGTTCTCCGAAACAGGAAAAAAAAAGAAAAAGAAAAAAACAACTCCTGGTAAAGTTTGAACAACACAAAGGACAACACAGATTCCCTCAGCTTATATCTGAGTTGCATTCCTGAAAAATTCCCTGTTTGCTAAAACCAGGCAAAAAACCCTTTGTGTTTGTGTGTGTCGCTCTGGGCCCAGAGCACTGCCCGCAGCAGTCCACCCGTGAGTGTGTGGCAGGATGTTCCCGCGGGAGTCTTGCTGGACGATCTTTATGGTGCCAGTGTCCAGCATCCCTGTCCTGCCCACTAAATGCCGGCTGTTACCTCTCTCGGGACTACCCCCCTCCCCCGCTTGGCCAAACAATCTCTGGCGTGGGTCACTGCTCTGACCGGCTGGGAACCCGTGGCCTCAAGGTGGTAAGCGGGGGGCCTGGGGAGCCCTGGGAGCGCCAGCCCAGCCTAAAGAAGCAGGAGGACTTCTTGGAGGGGGTGACACCTGAGCTTCTTCTTGAGGGCTAAGCAGATCCTTGTGAAGACCTACTCTGTCCAACGAAATGAGTGCTTGTTTCCAGAAGCGATGCCCGCTCCTGCTGGTGGTGTCAAGGTGGGCCAGGCAGGGCAGGCCTTGGTGACTCTATCCACTTACGGAATTGCTATTTCCCCCGTTCTCTTCAAGGAATTCTGTCTTCTCTGAACTTTGACTCACTCAGTCTCTCTTCCGGATGGCACCAGGGGGCTGCATGCTCATGGGCTGGATAGAAAATCCAGTTTTGCCTTTGTTTTTGTTTTTTTTTTTAAGATTTTATTAATTTATTTGAGACAGAGAGAAAGAGAGAGGGCACAAGTGGGGAGGAGGGTCAGAGGGAGAGGGAGAAGGAGAAGCAGACTCTCTGCTGAGCGGGGAGCCCGATGCGGGGCTCGATCCTAGGACCCTGGGATCATGAGCTGAGCTGAGGGCAGACGTTTAACCGATGGAGCCACCCAGGAGCCCCCAGCTTTGCTTCTAGTTCCTGGTGGCTGGATGACCAGCTTTGACCAGAGCGGGCACCTAGCCTTCCTTTGGAGGACAGACGGAAAGGGCCAGAAGGAAGGGCGCCTCAGCATAGCCATCCGCCCTCCTGGGTGCCGTGTGGCTGGAGCCTGCGCAGGCATGGAGGCCCAGCCCTGCAGCATGAGGGGGGTCTTGGAGGCCACGAGCCTGACCCCTTGTCCAGGCTGTGATTCCCTCCTGCGACGGGGAACTCATTGCCTCGCAGCGTAGCCCATGCCATTGGCAACCCGGCCCAGCCACTTGAGCCAGCCCTTCACCGTGACACAGAATCCTCCATCCCCTCCTGCCACACTTCAGAATAGGATTTTCCAACTCATGCTTCCTTCGGATAAGTAGAAACATCGGCACCCTCTCTGGAGTTTGGGCTTATGAAAATCACAGGTGTTTTGTCTGCTTTCCAAAATAAAAATCGGAATAGTGAATCTGTTTGTGGAATTTTGAGGGGCCCAGTCTTAGGTCAAGTTCCCTGGAAGCAGAGCCTATGGAGGAGGGGTCTCCGGAGCACAGAGTGAGGGAGGCTTGCTCATTCAGGGCAGAGGAAGAGCCAAGCAAGGATGTGGTTTCGGGGCGATCCTGCCGGCAGCTGGGGAGTGACCAGCACCTCACAGAGGTCACCTCCAGAGGCCAGATAATTCTGAGCTGCTTCTGGGGGGCCGGGGGGGGATGTAACTTCCCAGGCATCTGTGGGCGAGATGGCAGTGGGTCAGAGAAGGATGCAGGTATTAGCTTTCAGCCACCAATGTCCACAAAAGTGGGCACAGACGGGGCATGTGGGGGTCCAAAGGCCTCTGGTAAATCTCTCATGGGGAAGAGGGCACGTGTCTGCCTCCCAGGTGAGATCCTGCCCTCACGCCTTCTCCCAAGTTCTTCGGGGTTCTTCCAACCACTACCTCTCCACCCAAGTGGGGCAGGAGGGTGGGGAGGGATGGAGAGAGCGGAGGTGGGATTTGGGGGCCGGGTGGCAGGCCGAGCGCCGCACGAACTGATCGCCCCTCCTTTACCTGCCCTCCCACAGACTGCCTCTTCAAGGTGTGTCCCATGAACCGCTACTCGGCCCAGAAGCAGTACTGGAAGGCCAAACAGACCAAGCAGGACAAGGAGAAGATCGCCGATGTGGTGCTGCTCCAGAAGTTGCAGGTGGGTATGTGTGTCAGGGATCCGGGTGCACGCAGGGGGTTGCTGCTTATCAGAGCCAAAGGGGCCCCGTGGCTGAGTCCAAATCGGTGTGTGTGGGTGTGAATGAGGTGAGAGAGGGGAAGTAGAGTGCCTTCCCAGTGATCCACTTGTCTATATGACCCTTTGTGCCAGTTAGAAGGAGGTGCTCCTTCCTCCAGGCTGGTGTAGCCCTCTGCCCAGGGCACATGGCTCAGTGAGTGAAACGTGGATTAGATTTCAGCTCCCACCCAGCCCTTCAGCTGGACACCATTGTGCAGTGAACAACCTGTACAGCTGCCCATGGAGTTACCAGTAGTTCCTGGTGACAGTGGTTCCAGGGAACCTAACTTGAGAACCAGTCTTAACCTCCCCCCTCATTTTATAGAGTTGGACCCTGGGGCCCTTAGAGGGCGCTGGGCTGTCCATGCTTATCCAGTGAGTTTGTGGTAGGGCCTGAATGGCCCCCGGTCTCTGATCCACCTTGGGGTCCTTGGACACCTGGACAGTGCACAATGTAAGGGCCTGGGTGGTTGCTTGTGGGCCTCTTGGAGGCAGTGGCTCAGTTGACATCCTACGTAATCCTCCCTGGACAGACCTCAGGGCCTCAAGCCCAGTCCCCATGAAGAAGAAAGTAGGAGGCTTTGGCTGTGCTCAGCAGCTTTGCAGCCTGTTTCTGAGGCCCTCCCTCAGGCCTGGTGCGCCTCTCCCTGTCATGTAGACCTTGCTTCCTCATGTTCCCTTCCCTGAGGAGGTGGGTGTGAAATGGGGGAAGGGCGGGCCTCACCCCAGAGCTGTGAACTGGGCTGGAAAGAGAGGGTTGGAGGGTGGACTGCCTGAGCTCTGTTATAAGTACCCCATCTTTCTTCCTGGGCTGGGGGCTGTCACAGGCGTCCTTCCTGCTGCTGACGCAGGCCAAGGCTGAACTGGGGATCTGGCCTGGGTGTAGGGTGTTTCCGTGTGCACAGACACACACACATGTGGTCATATCGTCACACACTGTAGGTTTGTGGGAAGTCATGTGGTACGGGGTGAGTTTCCCTAACAGCCACCCCCGCCCCAGCCTCAGTCATGAGACCTGGGTAATGGGGCAGAGGGGCCAGTACTTTCAGGGAGTGCCAGTCTGATGGAGGAAACAGCCCTGTTTCCAGGAACCCCCAATCTGATGGAGGAGATAGTCTGTCCTTAGGCAGCTTCCAGGCTAATGTGACAGACGTGCCTGAAAAGGGTCCGTAATGGGAAGCCAACCGAACCCTGAGGGCCACTCGGGTAGGATCTGTCAGAGCTGGATGTGGCCCACCAGTGAGGGCTCCCTGAAGGCAGTGGCTAGGAGCCCATACAGTTTTGGGAGGAGGGGGGGGAGGAGGAAGAGGAGGAAGGAGCACCAGGCACATCTGTCAGGGTTTGGGTTGGGGCAGGGGTCCTGTGTTGGGGGCATCAGGACTCTGCTATGATGGGGGTAGTGAGGCACAGCTTAGGTTGTCTGCTGGCGGGGTCAAAGGGCATAGGGAGCTCAAGGGCCTGCTGGCATGTCCCCTCCCGAGGAGGTGGGCGGGGAGGGGCAGGGGATCGGGGTTCCCCTGGGCTGCGTACTCCACACTCTGAGTATCAGTCCCTCATCAACAGAGGGGGAGGGGATAGGCCACATGGCCTCTAGGGGGGGTCACCCTGGGTACAGTGCCAGGAGCTGTGTGTGTGTGTGTGTGTGTGTGTGTGTGTGTATGCGCATGCATGTGTGGGGTAGGGGACGTGGCCCTGCAGGACTGCTCCTTCCCAGCCTGCCTTCCACCTGTCTGCGTGCGTCTGCACAGCATGCAGCCCAGATGGAGCAGAAGCAGAACGACACGGAGAACAAGAAGGTGCACGGGGACGTGGTGAAGTACGGCAGTGTGATCCAGGTGAGACCCACTGGCATCACCCCCCGGAGACGCTGGGCTGGTGTGGGGGCGGGCGGCAGTTGCCATGCCCTCTGGGGCTTGTGTCCCCAGCGGGTGGCCCGGGGACTGTCTCCGTGACTGCATATCTGCTTCTGTGTGTGCCTCCTGCTGGGTGGCCCGAGTAGCTGTGCCCATGGGCAGGTTCTCGGCACACTGGTCACCAGCACAGATCCTGGAGTCCGAGTTCCAATCTTGGCTCTGGGACCTTGGGTGCCTCTGTTTCCCCATCTGTAAAATCAGGCTGGTGATAGTACTACCTTTTTGGTCGTTGTAAGATGACATGAATTAATACAAAGTATTTAAAAATGCGGGCTTCTTCTTTTGTGACCACCCGGGTGCCTGACTGGGGGCGTGTGGCTGCGCGTGTCTCAATTTGTGTGTTTATGTCTGTGTTTCTGACACTGTAGGTGTGTCCCGTTGTGACCAAGGTCCAGTGGGCCCCCCAGAGCCCCCCTCCCTACCGGGCTGGCCTTGGGGGGCCTGGCACCCTCACCCGCACCCCACCCGCCCCCCAGAGCCCCCCTCCCTGCTGGGCTGGCCTCGGGGGGCCTGGCGCCCTCACCCGCGCCCCGCACCCCCCAGAGCTCCCCTCCCTGCTTGGCTGGCCTCGGGGGGGCCCGGCACCCTCACCCGCACCCTGCCTGCCCCCCAGAGCCCCCCTCCCTGCTGGGCTGGCCTGGGGGGGGCCTGGCACCCTCACCCGCCCCCCCGCCCCCCAGAGCCCTTCTCCCTGCTGGCCTGGCCTCGGGGGGCGGCCCAGAGCCCTCACCCGCGCCCCGCCCGCAGCTCCTGCACATGAAGAGCAACAAGTACCTGACGGTGAACAAGCGGCTTCCGGCCCTGCTGGAGAAGAACGCCATGCGGGTGACTCTGGACGGAACGGGCAACGAGGGCTCCTGGCTCTTCATCCAGCCCTTCTGGAAGCTGCGGAGCAACGGCGACAACGTAAGGACCGGCCTGGGGTGGAGGGGCCGGCTGGGGGGGTGGGCGGCCAGGCTGCAGCTCCAGAGCGGCTTCTATAGGGTCTCTGATGTGGGGACTGGCTGAGGTCGTGCCCATTTCTCAGAGGGGCAGACTGAGATCAGAGAGAGGCCTACAGGCCTGGCCCTTCCCATCTGCGCCCTGTTCTGCCTGCACCCGTAGGTGGTGGTGGGGGACAAGGTGATCCTGAATCCTGTCAACGCGGGGCAGCCTCTGCACGCCAGCAACTATGAGCTCAGTGACAACGCGGGCTGCAAGGAGGTGAGTGGCTGCCGGGGCCCCTGAGGGCACAGACATCCCCTCCTTGCCCTGCTCTGGTCCTTGGTCCTCTTCGTCTGCCCTACGCTCCAGCCCCCAGGCCAGCAGCCCTGGGGCAGCTGGGCTGGGGCGGGGGAGGGGGGGTGGCGGCTGGCTGAGAGAAGACACCTCCTCATGCTCTGATGGGAGCTGGGCTGGTCCGCCCCTCACCCCGGGCCTTTCCCCCTGGCCTCCAACTGCTGGGGGTCTGGCAGGCGTCAGGGTTCTCTCGGCCCTTCCCCAGGTCAACTCCGTGAACTGCAACACCAGCTGGAAGATCAACCTGTTCATGCAGTTCCGAGACCACCTGGAAGAGGTGTTGAAAGGGGTAAGGACTGGCCCCCCCACCCCCGCGACAGCTGCCACCTGTCTGCTGGCTGCCCAGCCCCTCCCCCGCAGGGTCCCCTTCCCCCACCTCCCTCTACCCAGGTCTGCTCCTCGCCTGACCCTCCCCTCCATGCGCCCCCTTCTCTGGCTCTGCACCCTCTTCAGCCTCCCTCCACCCCCCCCAGCACCCCAGACCCCCGCACTCCCCCACAAGCTGGACCACCCCTTTTCTTGTCTCTGGACTCATAGCCTCCCTCTCCATCCTTTCTGGGTCCTGGCTAGCCTCTGTTTTTTCTCTTACTAAGGGTGTGCCAGTGGACTAGGGGTCCCCGTCCCCTCACCTTGGGGGCCAAGATCCTTTGAGCACCCTGTCCCCTCCCCAGCACTGGCTCCGTGGACCCGGGCCAGGTGCCCTCCCCTTTGCCCTGTGCCCTCTTAGGCAAGGGCCTGAGGCTGCTGAGTCAGGGCCTGTGCCCTGGTTCCAGACCCACTGGCGTGGGTGCTAGGACATAGGGGTTGGCAGGCGCTGAGGGGTTCAGCCTGCCGGACCCAGTATTGCTGGGAAACATCATGGTAATGACTTAGGGAGAGAGCAGAGCGAGGGGCAGGGAGGGCTGGAGAGACTGCTACACAAGCCCTGAAAACCAAGTGTGGGGGAGAGAGGGGGGCTCAGAGGTTTAAGTGGGGCTTCAGGGGGTAGAACCAGCCTATTGGGGGGTAGGTCGTATATGGAAGGGCAGATTTGGGGGGTAGCAGAGAGGGTGGGGCTCCTCAGCTAGGGGAATTGGCAGGCACCTGGCCATGAAAGGGACATATAGGCACAGGTGACAGGCCTGAGAGCAGCCACCTGAGGAGGCTGGCTGCCCTGTGTTCATTGCATCCCCCGAGAAGCCTGCAGTGTCCCCCCTTACCCTCTGCTCCCAGGCGGGCTGCTCTGTCACACTGTACTGCCCCCGCAGGCTGCCTCAGCCCCCTCCCACCTCCCAGGCTCTTTCCATCCACCCGTGCTCTGTCCAAATGCCTTTCTCTCCCTCCCTGAAGCCTGCACATCATCCACATAGCAATCAAGCCTCAGCCTGTGTGCCACCTCCTCCTGGAAGCCTTCTCTGATTACACATTCCTGCTCCCAAATCTGTGTGGCCCTTAGAAAATGAAGCATCATTGGGCCGAACCCCATGGTGTGGCCTGGACTGGTTTCTGTGACTCTGTCATGGCTTTGATGTTAGAGGCCAGGCCACCTGGAAGTGAGATTTGAGTGTGCAGAGTCCACCCCTTTTTTGGCTCTCGCCCTGTACTGCGTGGATACAGAAGTCACGAGGTTCTGCCAAAGTAACTGGCTTAATCTATGTATCTTCTCTCGCTCGCTCGCTCGCACATTCACTCCACAGGTGGGCACAGGGTAGGAAGTGTGGTGGAAAGGTGAGGGCTCCGGAGCTGCACCACGGATTCATGTCCCCTTTGCCACTAGCTGTGTGACCCTTGGCAGGACACTTAGCTTCTCTGCCTGAGTCTCTCCACCTGTAAAATGGGGATAATGATATAGGTGCCCGGGCAGCGTGGGTGAGGATGAGGTGAGGAAGTCCACGTAAAGGGCTCACGCAGCGGCTAGCACGTGGGAAACGTGCAATGTTCTTCATTATACAAATTATAGCCCTCGCAATTTCTGCAAGGGGCCATGGTATCCCCATTTTGCACAAGAGGAAACTGAGGCTCAGAGATGTTAAGGGACTTATCCAAGGTCACACAGCTTGGGAAGCAGAACCAGGGTCCAAACTTGGTCTCTGTGTCCAAAGCTCCGGAGATGAATAGGCCACAGTCTCTGCACTCCAGCTGTTCCAGGCCCGTGGGAGCAGAGGAATTGGGCAAGAATTACCCATATTCAGGCAGAAGGGGCCCTAGGGAGGTGCAGCCATGGGCCTGGGGGGACCCTAGAAGGTGATACCCCTCCTGCCTTCATAGAGAGGGTGACTTGAGATTGGCCTTTAGAGGTCAGGTGGGGTTACTAGAGGTACGAATCAGGGAAGGAGATAGCCAAGGGTGGGCTTGACATAGGAGGCTGGGGAAGGTTCTGGATAAGAGCATGTCCCGCCCCAGTCGTCTGGAGGCTCTGGATTTGGGGTGTGGGCAGAGCACCTGGCTGAGGGGCCAGCCCCTGGCCCTGGCCACCCTCCGGTGGGGCTCAGCATGCATCTCGCCCTCTGCTTGCTGCTCTGAAAGGAGCAGGAGGGGCCCTGCACCAGCCGCGCCTGCATCTGAGGGTGGGCGGGGGTGGGGGGGACGGCGGCGGGGGGCTGGCCCCCCGGGAAGGTCCCGGCCCGTCCTGAGCCCGTGACCCACGGCTGTAGGGAGATGTGGTGCGGCTGTTCCACGCGGAGCAGGAGAAGTTCCTGACGTGTGACGAGTACAAGGGCAAGCTGCAGGTGTTCCTGCGCACGACGCTGCGCCAGTCCGCCACCTCGGCCACCAGCTCCAACGCCCTCTGGGAGGTGGAGGTCAGAGCTTGCTTCTTACCCAAGACCCAGCCCCTCCTCGCCAGCCCTGGGCCCCGCCCCCTCTTCTTCCCCCGTCACCCTGGAGGGTAGGAGGTGTAGAGGCGGGGCAAGGGGGCGTGGGGGGGCAGGTCCGGGTGCCACTTACCCAGAGCTCTCCAGGCCTCCCCAGGGCCCGAGCTACCGCTCCCTGGCCAGTGTCCCTTTCCTGCCTCACCCCTGCACCCCCCAGGTGGTCCACCACGACCCCTGCCGTGGGGGAGCTGGCCACTGGAACGGCCTGTACCGCTTCAAGCACCTGGCCACAGGCAACTACCTGGCCGCCGAGGTGAGTGGGGAGGTCGAGGGCGCCCTGGGAGCTCGGGCTGCGTGGGCACGCGGGCGCGCAGGAGCCCGTGAGCCGGTGCACGTCTGCACACATAGACACACGTGTCCGTGGCCCCTGGCTTATCTGCACTCTTGCATTAAACAAATACTATCAAATAAGCGCGTGCCTGCAAATAAGCCTCATGAACATTACAGCAGCCCTACTATGTGCCACGAGCTATTCTGGACCCTGGGGAATCACCAGCGAGCCAGGTTCCCACCCCTCGTATAACTTACATTCCACATGTTTGTCTGTCCATAGAATGCAGGCTTGTGTATACTAGGGCGTGTGTGTGTGTGTGTGTGTGTGTGTGTGTGTGTGTGTATTGATCTGTGGGTCCATGAAGAGGGGCATGAAGGGCAGGGCCTGGGGACTCTCGTTGGTGGCTTCTTCAGGAGCGACTTGGGCTTTAGTGCTGGGGTGGGCACCCCTGGGAGGGTGGGGGCTCCCTATGTGGACCTTGTTTTGGGGTGGGGGTCATGTGAGCATAGCTCAGTATCTAGTAGCTGCCCCCGTCTTGTGTCTCTGTCCAGGAGAACCCCAGCTACAAGGGTGATGCCTGTGATCCCAAGGCAGCGGGAATGGTGAGGACCAGAGCAGGGCTCCAGGGCCCAGGGAAGAGGGACCGTGGGTGTTGGCCAGGAAATCCTGGGAAGTGAGCTGGAGGGAGAAGGCCTCTCAGGTGGGATTCCAGGTGGTATCGGGGGGCCCGAGAGGAGGGAGGGGCTTCTGCCTGAGCTGGGGTCCTTATCCCAGGGTGCTCAGAGTCGTGTAGGTCGCCGGAACGCTGGGGAGAAGATCAAGTACCGCCTGGTGGCTGTGCCCCACGGCAACGACATCGCTTCCCTCTTTGAGCTGGACCCCACCACGTTGCAGAAAACCGACTCCTTTGTGCCCCGGTGAGTAGGTGCCGTGTGCTTGGGGGCTGATGGGGGTGCCCAGGCTGTGCCGTCCTGTCCCTGGGCCCCCTGCATCCCACACTCCTCTGTCCTCCTGAGCCCCTCTGGCCTCAGGACCTGCCTGTCCCGCCCCTCTGGGGACCAAGCTCTCAGAGCTGTGGGCAGCTGACTACCACCGAACATGCGCCATGTGCCGGGCCCTGGGTTCAAAACGCCTTCTCTCCAGTGTTCTTTATCAGGCACCTGCCCCCGTCTCTCTGCACACTCAAGCACATGCAGCATGAGTTTGTCCACGGCACACGGCGGGAGGGAGGGGAGGGACTGGGCTCCCTGACCTTTAAGGCCCCCCAACCGTAGATGCTAGGGCGTAACATCAAGAAACTTCCCGGGTGTCAGTCAGGCTTTGGCATTTATTAGCTGTCTGACCTCAGTCCCTTTGCCCTGACTGCCTGATCTGTCAAGTGGGCATATCAAGTTACCCATAACAGGGCTGATGGGAGACGTAATGGAGTCACTCAGTGTAGGCCCACCAGCCCTTACCTGAAGCTCTTGGGGCCAGGTGCCTTTTGAGATTCAGATTGTTTTTCATTTCAGAAAGGTAATTACATTTCATAATCAGAGACAAGAGTGTTTCTGCTCTGAGATGCATGCATCTTGACGCGAAGTGGGATAAATAGTCTAAATAGTCTCATTTGTCCAAATGAATCTTGGTTTCAAGTTTACAAACAAGCCTGGGCTTTTGGAGCGCTCTGGGTTTGGGAACACAGGCGAGCCACGTGGGTCGGAACAGCACAGGGCCTGAGGGCTGTTTGCTGGCCACTCTCCTCTGGCTTGGGCTCCTCCCCTGGAGGGGATCGGTTCCCCTGTCCCATGGCCATGGAGTCGGGTGGAGATGTGGAGCCGGTGTGGGGCAGGGCAGGCAGACAGCGGGGATGCGCTCTGAGGCCCGCTCCCTGTGCCCTGCCCCCGGCCCCACCTGCAGGAACTCCTACGTCCGTCTGCGGCACCTCTGCACCAACACGTGGATCCAGAGCACCAATGTGCCCATCGACATCGAGGAGGAGCGGCCCATTCGGCTCATGGTGCGAGCCAGCCGGGGCTGCGGGGCTAGGGCCTTGGCTTGTCCCTGGGTGCCCTGCTGACCTCTTGTCCCTGCAGCTGGGCACCTGCCCCACCAAGGAGGACAAGGAGGCCTTTGCCATCGTGTCTGTGCCAGTGTCCGAGATCCGAGACCTGGACTTCGCCAACGATGCCAGCTCCATGCTGGCCAGTGCCGTGGAGAAACTCAACGAGGGCTTCATCAGCCAGAACGACCGCAGGTGGGCCGCACGGCAGGGTCCTCGAAGGGTCTGCATTTCATGAACCCAGGAGTCACAAAGCAGAAGCCGGGCAGGCTTGGCTGGCTGGGGTTGGGGAGACAGAGGTGGGGACTTGTTCTGGCAGGTTCTGGTGGACCCTGGGGCCCTTACCTCATGTATTGCTCATGTACTCCCAGAACTAACCGTGATGATGGGTTGAGGCTCACAGAGGTTAAGAGACTTGTCCATGGTCACACGGCTAGTAAGTGGCAGGGTCAGGACGGAAATGCAGAGCCCTTCACCCCAAACACCTTGTGCCCTGTTGTTCCTTTCCAGATCGGAGTATACTGAGATTCTTTGTCTCGGGGGCACTTTAGAATCCAGGGTGGGTGGGGCGAGGTGTGTGTTTTGAGAGCCTTTTGGGGTAAAGCTGGGGAGAGAAGTTGAAGGCCAATGATAGGCTTTGTGCTTTGGATCGTAGGGTGGGCGAGTGGCCTGATGAGAGCGTGTTTGGGGCAGGGCTGGTTGCCCGTGGCGGGGGGTTTCCCAGGGTTGGTGCCTTACACTTGTCATCACTGGTGTCCCTTCATGAAGGTTTGTCATCCAGCTGCTGGAGGACCTGGTGTTCTTCGTCAGCGACGTCCCCAACAATGGGCAGAATGTGCTGGACGTCATGGTCACCAAGCCCAACCGGGAACGGCAGAAGCTGATGAGGGAGCAGAACATCCTCAAACAGGTGTGTGTGCACACATGTGGGGAAGGGGCCGGCTGTCCAGAACAGGAGCCTTTTCCCATCTGCGGTGGAGCTTCAGTCTCTCTGCAGCTACTCTTCGCCCCTTTTTAGAAAATGAGTATTTGTTGAGCCCTGACCACATGCCAGGCGCTACCCTAAGCGCCCTACACGTACTGGCTTGGTGGATCCTCTCCCCTGGGGGAGGTACTATTATTACCCCAGGTTACCTGTGAGGGGTCTAATGCATAGAGGTTGGAGTAACTTGACCCTGAGTATGCGGCTAGGAAGCAGCAGGGCAGGATTTGAACTCGGGATGTCGGGTTGAGAACTTGTGCTTTTTTTTATTTAAGGCTTTTTTTTTTAAAGTAAGCTCTACACCAATGTGGGGCTTGAACTCACAACCTGGAGACCAAGAGTCGCATGCTCTACAGACTGAGCCAGCCAGGTGTCCCCAGAACTTGTGCTTAAAAAAATAGGGGGCACCTGGGTGGCTCAATCAGCTAAGTGTCTGCCGTTAGCTCAGGTCATGATCTCAGGGTCCTAGGATTGAGTCCCGCATCCAGCTCCCTGTTCAGCGGGGAGTTTGCTTCTCCCTCTCCCTCTGCCCCTCCCCGCTGTTCCTGCTCTCTCTCTCTCTCTCTCAAATAAATAAATAAAATTTAAAAAAATATATTTTTTCTGGGGCGCCTGGCTGGCTGAGCCAGTCCGTGGTGTGTGACTCTTGATCTCAGCCCAGCGCTGGGTGTGGAGATTACTTAAAAAAATATTTTTTCTAAGTTTTGATTGTGAAACTTTTCTTTCTTTCTTTTTTTTTTTTAAAGATTTTATTTATTTATTTGACAGAGAGAGAGAAAGCATAAGCAGGGGTAGTGGCAGAGGGAGGGGGAGAAGCAGGTTCCCCAAGGAATAGCGAGCCCGATACGGGGCTCCATCCCAGGACCTCGGGATCATGACCTGAGCCGAAGGCAGACACTTAACCAACTGAGCCACCCACGTGCCCCTGATTGTGAAACTTTTCAAATATTGGGAAAGTAATGAAAGAATAGTACAGTGAACACTGTACCACCACTGCCCGAATCTGCTTGTTACCATTTTGCCAGTTTGGTTTTTTTTTTTTTTTTATGTTATGTTAATCACCATACATTACATCATTAGTTTTTGATGTAGTGTTCCATGATCCATTGTTTGCGTATAACACCCAGTGCTCTATTCAATACGTGCCCTCTTTAATACCCATCACCAGACTAACCCATCCTCCCACCCCCCTCCCCTCTAGAACCCTCAGTTTGTTTCTCAGAGTCCATCGTCTCTCATGGTTCGTCTCCCCCTCCGATTTCCCCCCCTTCATTTCTCCCTTCCTGCTATCTTCTTCTTTTTTTTTTTTTTAAACATATAATGTATTATTTGTTTCAGAGGTACAGATCTGTGATTCAACAGTCTTACACAATTCACAGCGCTCACCATAGCACATACACTCCCCAATGTCTATCACCCAGCCACCCCATCCCTCCCACCCCCCACCACTCCAGCAACCCTCAGTTTGTTTCCTGAGATTAAGAATTCCTCATATCAGTGAGGTCATATGATACATGTCTTTCTCTGATTGACTTATTTTGCTCAGCATAATACGCTCCAGTTCCATCCACGTCGTTGCAAATGGCAAGATTTCGTTTTTTGTTGTTGTTGTTGGCCGCATAATATTCCATGGTATATATATACCACATCTTCTTTATCCATTCATCTGTTGGTTTGGTTTTATGTAACTATACACCTATGCAGCCGTCCCTCCACCCATGCATTTCCAACCAGGGCACACCTCACCCCTAAGTTTTTCAGCGTGCATCTCCTGGAATAAGGGCATTGGCCTCCGCAAGCACAATACTGTTATCACACATAAGAAAATTAGTAATAATACCCATCCATATCTGATTTCTCTGCTTTACCCAAAATGTCTTTTTAAAGCTTGTTTTTTGAACCAGGATCCCACGAAGGTTTTCTCATTCCATTTGGTTGTATTTCTTTGGTTTCTGGTGTAGAACAGTTTTTCACACTCACCCAAACCCTGCTTTTAAAATTTATTAATTACATTAACATTTTTTAAAATATTTTATTTATTTGAGAGAGAGAGTGAGAGAGAGAGCATGAGAGGGGGGAGGATCAGAGGGAGAAGCAGACTCCCCGCTGGGTCTCCGGGATCATGACCTTAGCGGAAGGCAGCCGCTTAACCGACTGAACCACCCAGGCGCCCCACGTTAACGTTTTTCTGATGAGGCAGCCTTGCGTCCGGTCTCTTGGGCTCTGGCCACACCAGCCGGGCCTGCCTTTTCTCTTAATCTCAGACCCTGAGCTGTGGCAGCCCTGAGCTCTTCCCCCAGATGCTGAGCCAGGCCCAGGATCTGAGCTGGGATTAGTCACGTGGGGGCGGGTGGCTGAGGCCCGCGGTGGGATCCCAGTCCGAAGAAGGGAGTGGGGGCTGGAGGTGGGGCCGATGGTGGGTGGGCTGGGGTCTCAGTCCAGCTTAGAATCAGCTTGGGGTTCATGTCGGTGTGGCTTTGGGGCAGGGTGACTTTGGGGCCGAGGGTTCCTGGGACAATGAGGAGTGCAGGCGGGTATAGGGGGACCGCTCCTCATGTTCTCTTCTCCCCCAGATCTTTGGCATTCTGAAGGCCCCTTTCCGTGACAAGGGGGGTGAGGGCCCCCTGGTGCGGCTGGAGGAGCTGTCAGACCAGAAGAACGCCCCCTACCAGCACATGTTCCGTCTCTGCTACCGGGTCCTGAGGCATTCCCAGGAGGATTACCGCAAGAACCAGGTGCGCTGCCTTACCCGCCGGAGCCTTCCAGGCCCCGGCGGCCCCACTCACCCGCTCACCGGCTTGCTCACCCCCTCACTCCTGCTTTTGTTCACTCAGCAAGTAGTTTCGGAGGCGCACAGCCGCTATGTGCCAGGCACTGTTTTCGGCCCCGGGGATACAGCAGGGAACCAGACAGTAGGGCCAGCTTCGTGGGTGTGCAGTCAGGCTCCATGCTCGGAAGGGCGTCGAGCTGGGTTTGATGCTCTGCTGTGGCCATCTTGAAAGTCTTGGCTTTTGAAGAAGGGTCCTGCTGTTTCGTTTTGCACAGGGCCCCACAAATTATGTAGCCGGTCCTGCCAGACAATTTCCTCCCTCACGGAGGCTTCACTCTGGTTGGGAGACAAGCTGTGAGCTGAAGAACTCTGTTGTGTAAACCCACTCCGCTGCCCAGAGCGAGTTTCCTGTCCCAGACCTCCACCTGGCTAGTCGGAGTCCCCTGCCTGGGATGGGGGTCCCCGTCCCCAGGTCTGGGGCGGTGTGCTGGAGCAGAGCCAGGCTCCCCACCACTCAGCTCGTCTGTTCTCCAGGAGCACATCGCCAAGCAGTTTGGGATGATGCAGTCCCAGATCGGCTATGACATCCTGGCGGAAGACACCATCACTGCCCTCCTGCACAACAACCGCAAGCTTCTAGAGAAACACATCACCAAGACCGAGGTGGAGACCTTCGTCAGCCTCGTGCGCAAGAACCGGGAGCCCAGGTGAGCCCACCCGCCTCCCCTGCTGCGCCCGCTCCCTTCTCCTTCCCGGTCCTCCCAGGGTACAGAGGCGGTGGGCACTGCTGGTTAAAATAGTGAAAAACCATTGCCTCCAGCGGTAAAGTGTCCTGGCCTCTGCAGCCCCTCCCCGGGACCCTTCCCAAATGTGGCCCAATCTTGCAGCCAGAGGGTTGATGTCCGGTACAGCAGAAGCCCCAAGACCCTCCTCTGGTGACAAAGTTGGAGCCTGTATTGAACCAATTGTCCTTGTGCCCCCTTTACCCTGACCCCCGGGACCCCTAGCCAGCCTCCCCCTGCCCCAGGGTGATCAGGGAGATGCCCATGATTTGTCCGTCCCTGGGCAGGGGGGCCCATCTCCCAAGCTTTGGGGCAGGAGCAGAAGCAGTAACTGGTTCCAGGGAGCTGGGGCTGCCAGCTGGGGAAGGAGAAGGGTGGGCTTCATCCCCACCAGGGAGCGGCCTCTGATTCCCCTCCCCACCCCTGCGGTCACCACCCCAGGTTCCTGGACTACCTCTCTGACCTGTGTGTGTCCAACCACATCGCCATCCCCGTCACCCAGGAGCTCATCTGCAAGTGTGTGCTGGACCCCAAGAACAGCGACATTCTCATCCAGACCGAGTGAGCCATTGCGCTGTTCCCTGGCCATAGCCCGGCCTCCGCCCTGCTCCCCTGCTCCTCAGGCTCCTTAGAGCTTGGGCCCCGTGTGCGTGCAGGCTGGAACCGGCACCCTCGCTGCGTGCAGATACTCACCCTTGCCTGCTGTGTGGCCAGCTCTGTGCTGGCACCGTGTGAGCAAGGAGGCCTCGGGGACTGAGCCAGATCCTCTGTCCTTGAGAAGCTCGTGGTCCGAGGAGTGTGTTTGACCCGGCACTCAGCCAAGCTCCTAGAGGGGTCTTTGTGGCAGGACATGCTCGCGGAGGGCTCTGGGCATGGCGTCCTGCCCCGGCCCCCCACTCCCTGTGATGGCTGGCCCTGGTTTGCAGGCTTCGGCCAGTGAAGGAGATGGCCCAGTCCCACGAGTACCTGAGCATCGAGTACTCAGAGGAGGAGGTGTGGCTCACTTGGACCGACAGGAATAACGAGCACCACGAGAAGAGCGTGCGGCAGCTAGCCCAGGAGGCGCGGGCGGGCAATGCCCACGACGAGAACGTGCTCAGCTACTACAGGTGCCTCGGGGCCCAGCTCCTTCCCGTCCTTAGCGCTTCCGGTGCCCTCGGGCCTCCTCACAAGGCCGTCAGCCCATCCCCAGCAGCTGTGCAGCCTTCACTGGGGAGGCTGAGCTCAGCCCAGGGACGGGGCTGAATGAACCCCAAACCTGTCTCCACACATATTTATTTAGAAAATAAGATTACTAGAGGGCGCCTGGGTGGCTCAGTTGGTTAAGCGTCTGCCTTCAGCTCAGGTCATGATCCCAGGGTCCTGGGATCGAGTCCCACATCGGGCTCCTGGCTCGGCGGGGAGCCTGCTTCTCCCTCTGACCCTCTCCCCTCT